AAGCAACAAAACTAGTTGGAAGTTTGGGAAAAAACTTCCTGAAGGATTTTCTTCCCCTTGTTTCTTCGTTGCCCAGTCGTAAGCAAGTTTATTACAGAATGTGGTCTTTCCTATACCTGGTTTCCCTTCAACCAACACCGTCCTAGGATGTAAGCATTCCTCTTGTGGTTTGAAGATATCGTTCATCGTAACAGTTTCATCAGTCTTTTTACCCCTTTCTTTCTTCCTGCTCACTATTTTGAGTCTGGTAAAATTGTTATCAAGGCTCAACCGAAATTTTTCCCACCACGGAAAGGGTGCAATCCATCTTTCACGGGTGCTGTAGAGTTGGCGAATGCCATCGATAAATTCAGCTGGGTCAAAAGCACCTGATAGAAAAAAAAACCATAGCACCGCGTTAGTCTAACCAAGTTCAACGGACATCCGCTTAATGCGGGCACCTCGTTATTACAAACAGTTTTTTTGTTGCAGGGAAAGCCCTTACATCATCTCTAAATTAATCTCCCTCAAACAAACACCTGTAAATGAGGACACTATTTCTACCGCCTCCCACCCCTAGTGTTGTATTAAAGGGGTGCGATTGTGCTATCATTGTAGGATGAGTCTCAGAAACTGGACAAAAGAGAAACCTGAAACAGGAAAGGCGAGTATAGCGCACATACAAAAATAAATACAAATAATGTTTGTTTTAATTTACCCTTGCATCTAAAGAAGTATGTTCGTTGGCAAGAGACTGTTTTTCTTGGTGGTTATAGAACTAATTGATGATATTTTCGAAAAAAAAACGAAACAAAAAAAGGCTCATCACTTTTAAATACCAGAGGGAAAAACTGCAACGGTGCCATTGATGGGTCTAAGCTAAAAATTTAATGTAAATCTGTAAGTTGTAAGTTGTGCAAGGTAGAGCATGTATATTAAATGCCCTCTAGAATACAACCAAGGTCTATTGCAAAGTGACAGACATACCTTTTTCTTGCTTTGTTCCCGCTGCATGATCTGTCAAACTTTCTATAATTTTCCTTTGACTTTCCATTAGCTGATCATTCATGCGCTTTAGTAGCTCTGTTTGTTATCAGAATCAAAAATCCATTGATCAGTCCAGGAGGAATCACAGGTAAAAGTCCAGTTAACTGGAATGATTATCAAGCAAGTGTTCACAAGAATACCTCAAGGGTACAAGAGTTTCTGGGGGGGAGTAAAGCTATAAAATATCATCACCAGTACCGCTTTTTTTACAACTCGTCTTTTTTCTTTTTCAGGAGGGTCTAGGATAACCTAAATGTCAGCTGAAGCTAACTCGAAGGAACAGCTGAAATTTAGGCTTGGTCTTGGGTGTTTGCCAGTCATCACAGCCTACTAAAATATAGGGAATGTTTTGCAGGCCATGAAGTTCCCAACACTCTTCCTTGGCATGTATTCTCTTAACTGAAACGATCCATGCCTTGCACCCTCAGTTGTAGCATTTCTTTATGCATAACAGTGTTACAAGATTATCGTTATTTCTTTAATCCACAATAATTACTGACTTTTCAAGTTACCTTCAATCTCATCAAGTCTGTATTTACTGCTATCATCATCTTTCTTCCACTCCCCCAGTACTTCTTGGTAGTGTTTCTCAATGACAGGATCCATACTCTCAGTCTTCAGTCTATTGATAGCAGCAGCATCTGCACCCAGTCCTACCAATGCATCACCTATATCCTGCCAATAGGTATTAAATGTTGCATCATCCACAGATGCCTGGCTGGCATGTCCATAGACATGGTTCCTATAATACTTAACCCTTGCTATGTTGGCTTCAGCACTCGTATCTGCAACAGGTGGGAGATTATCCCAACCAGTGGTTGGAGGAATCAAGCCACATATATTCCTTAAGAGCAACATGAGAAGTGTTACATCAAAATCTTTTGAAGATACGGATGAAGGTGTAGAGGGGTACAGCTTGGCCCATTGCGTGGGATTGAGAATTCTCTTCTTTTTAAGTGCCTGCAGTATTGGATGTACGGGAGGCTTTGTAACAACTCCGTGTAGGCGTGCCGGTGGGTGAATACTATCAAATGTGTTTCTCAGTGCCTGGGATCCTACATCCACAAGAAGACGACACAGACGAGCATAATTTGTTGTCTCCTTGGTGGATGCATATGAAGTTGTGCAGGAGGCCATGTTGATTATTTTTTTAGCTGTTAAAATAGACAAATAAAAAAATATTCATTTGGCAACCACAGTACTCCTGGGAATTCTTGGTGGGGTGAGCCACCCAGTTTCCCAAATTCTGACCCTATTTCAGACCAAAAAATTACATTTACCACACCTGTTTTCACACCTGACCTCTAAAATCCATACCATTTTCAGACCCAGAGTAGGTCACAAAATGCAACATACATGTTTACAAAGGTAGAATTTACGTAATCATTACTTAGATTAGAAGGCCAACAAAAAGATTTTTTCTTAAAATCCATTCCAAATTTGCATATTAATCTTTCCTTTTGATTCATTGGGAATTGAAACGACGAATGTGTTGATCGCTCCTGCAGTTCCCTCAAAACCATTGTTTCCAGACCAAAATGGGCAAGGTCTATACCTGTTTTCAGACCGAAACACCACAAAAACCAGACCCTTTCGGACGGCACATGCCTCTCTGATTTATATAAGGGAGTATCCCCTGGGAATATAGTCAAGTGACAAATTGGCTCACCATAATAACTAGCATTAATTAACATGATACTATTTTTTTAGTTAAACCAGGGATTGAAATTTAAATGATTCCCTAAGAAGCAGCTTGTGATAAAAGAAGAGGACATCTGTAGCTTCCTTGTTGTACTCGATCACACAATCAATTCACTGTTCAACAAGCACGCTAAAATCTTTGACACAGTACTTGCCTGAAAAGGACACTTTTATCAACAATTTCATCCATTTATCATACAATTCTGTTTAAACATCATTATCCCCAACCCCAAATCAATGTTACTTGTAGTTGAAGAAAGACTTGGGGGTCTTGGGGGGGGGGGGGG